GAGAGAGAGAGAGAGAGAGAGAGAGAGAGAGAGAGAGAGAGAGAGCTCACAAGAGAGCCCATCTGTTCTGGAACCGAGGGCGACATAGCACAGATGACTGCACGGTCCAACACCCTGTGGCTCTAGGCAGAAGGTACATTTTCTGTGGGGTGCTCTTGTGTTCCAGCCCAGCAGTGTGCCCCCAGCTCTCTGCAAGAGCCCAGAACAAGCATGAAGTGTAGCCACAAAGTCAGAGGCCAGAGGAATGAGGGTTCCCGCTGGGATCCTGGCTTGGTACAATTGGCAGTGTGCAGAAGTGTGCGTTTCCATAGAGAATCGGGAAGGTAATGCTGAGGAGAGCCAACAACTTCAGGCTCCCTCTAGGAAATTTCTTCTTGCCTCTTTGAGATGACCCATTCAGTGGCAGGTCTCAAATTAGTCTTACAGCCTCTGCCTCATGGCTTTCCACGGGGATCTGAGTGCTACATTTCCAACTACTAAGAATCACCCCTTTTGGAAAGAAGACCTACCAGTCTTTCCTCCTCTGCCTTCTGGGGAATTCTCTACCTCATTTGTATTTGTCTGCATTAGCACCTTAAGAGGGCCTAAGGGACAAGCCAGATTATATGCTAGCAGGGAATGCCAAGCCTTCCCTAAAGGCAGGCAACTACATCCTAGACACACTAGGCAGAGAGGATGCTGGGCCCAGGCTGAAGAAGGGAGTAGGGAGTGACAGCCCCTCCATTCCTTCTTTCCTCTTCCCCCATAGCGGAGGCCCCAGCCCCCTGGTTATTCTGAAGCATGGCTATTTAGTACAAGCTCTGCTCCTGAGTAGCAGCAGACCTTCAACACAAATTGCCTCTCCTCTCTAGCTTCATTTTCCATCCTATAAAATGAAGGTTAATAGTTCAATATTTCCAGTATTCAGCCCAATAAGTGGCCTGGCAGTGCTGTTAAAATAATTTTTAAAAAAGAAAAAGAAAAGATAGATCGATCCACCACTGGATATCATCACACCAGGCACTTGCACACTTGCATGAGCTCAGAACTTTACCTCGGCTTCAACTCCCAAGCTGACGTTCTACTCTACGTATTATTGACCTACTTTACAACCTAAGAAAATTGAGGTTCCAGCAGCTTAATTAAGTTCCCCAGAGACCCATCTCTAGTGCCAAGTTCCAAAGCCTTTTTCACTCTGACACCCGTTTGGCCCTGGGGAGGCACCAGTTCCATGCCTCTGGTTCTGCCGGAGCTCCAGAACCAACTCAGAGGAAGCTATTTCAACCAGCAGAGCTACAGTCCTGACAAAAAATAGGCCCATGGCTGCCTTGGGCCTGGAAAAGCTGGAAAAGGAGTAACACAGGGGGAAGAGAAATGAAGAAGTCCCTAGCATGGGCTATAAGTAAAGACATGAAGCGCTTGGGCTGAATTGCACTATGACCAGTGAGACCTCCCAGAAACCACCATGGGCAGTGAAGAGTTAAAATGCAGAGCAGGCTTCATGGGGAGATGCCCCTTTCCTCACCTCACACCCTCCTCTGAAACCAAACTGCCACCCTATCCCTTTCTCTCCTATCCCAGCTGTTTGAGGTCCACAGAGTAGACCCCGGCCTTCTGCACTAGGGTACCCTAGTACCCAGCTGGGGATCTGCCCAGACATAGTAGGGGCTCAGCAAACATTTGCAGAATTATGGGATCAAAAGAAAGCCACCCTCTTCCCAGTCTTCCTATGTCCCTCCCCCCAAGGAAAAGGTGTGTTTGGAATAGGGGCCCAGCAGGATATGCACATTCCTGGCAAGAAGAAACCTACCTGCCTGACAGCCAGAAAGGAAGTTTCTGGCCAAAGGTAGAGGAGAGGAAGGGGGTGGGGTTGTCTAGCTGAGGAGAGAGCAACACAGAAAGGAACAAGGGCTGGTCCCCTAGCAAGCAGCCTGGCTAGCCCAGCTCCTGGTATTTTCTAGCATGGATGTCAAGCCCAAGGCTCAGAGGTCCCCCAATCCCCAAACCCATACTGATGGGCCAGCTTTAGCTCCCCCAATTTGTGCCAAGGCTGGGCCTAGGATAAAGTAGGGGCCTTAGTGAGTGGAGGATGGCACACACCTGTAATCCCAGTATCCCAGAGGCGGAGGCAGAAAGGACACTGAGTTTGAAGCCAGCCTGGGCTAACATACTGGGTCTCATAGTCATTTGAGGGTCCACAAGCGGAGGTGTGGATCTCATTGGGGTCCCCCTAGGCAAACCTGCTCCCCAGGCCACCCTGCATGATTGAACGGAGAGCCCTCCACTGCACAATCTTGACACTCACAGATCTAAGGACACCTTGGTGGTTAACCAGCAAGCCATCTAGGTGTCCATGGCAGTCCCTGTTTGCTCCCTCCAACCTCCAGGTGACACCTGGTAATCACAATAGCAAGATAAAAGTTTCTCAAGTTTAAGATGAGGGAGGGAGGGAGGGAGGAAGGGAGAGAAAAAAAGAAAAAAAGAAAGAAAGAAAGAAAGAAAGAAAGAAAGAAAGAAAGAAAGAAAGAAAGAAAGAAAAAGAAAGAGGCCTTCAGACTTCACAGCGGGTTTCCGCGGGGGCGGGCAGAGGTTGTCGTTGGCCAGTGACTTCCCGGCTCTGATCAACCTGGGCACAAAATGCCTGTAGGGCAGGGCATCCAGGAAAAGGAGCCTAACGGTTGGGGTTCTGGGGAGCGGGGTGGGGGGGAGCTCTGCGGGGCAGTGGGACAACGCGGATGCTCCCGCCGAGACCATCCGGCTACTCCTTACTTCGTGGGAAAAGGGGGCACCGGGATAACCACAGAGACTACCTCTGAGCTTCACGGGCTCTCCCGACCCAGAATTCCAGACCAAACTCAATTCGGTTTGGGGCCTTATGCAGACCCGTGCCCTGCAACAGAAGCTGAAGATGCTGCATAGCTCAGGTAAAATCCCGCATTGGCCAAAAGTCTTCAAGACTTGTTCCGGAACCTCCAACCCATGCCTTCGGATTTGTTCCCCCAGGCCCCCAACCCTTATCCAGTGTTGCGCACCGCCGGCGGCCCACTCCACCTCGTGGGGAGACCAGCTAGCACCAGGCGCTCATCTGAAATCCCAGGAGAGAGTTGGGGGGGAGGTTGCAAAGGAGGAGCCGGGCGCTGTCTGAGCGCAAGGACCGCCCCCCCCATACCCTTGTCCTCCCAACCTCGAGTCCGGGGAGAGACAACACGGGTGCATTCACCAAGTCACACCAGTTGGAGGAGAGAGAGAATCTGCGAAGATCAGGGCCTTTGACTCAAGAATCCGCGTCCCACGAAATCACACGCTCCTTTACCCGGGTGGCCACGACCCCAGATCTCTCAGGGCACCCCACTTTCTAGTGCCACCGGGTTCCGCTCTGGCGCAGCCCAAGAAGTTTTGATGTAGACGCACAGCACGAGGTTGGAGCGTCACCAGGGGTGGGTGGCCTCGGGTCAGAGGGGTGTTGGGGAGATGAGGGTACTGTCTTAGGGTGAGACACTACGAATCCCCGGTCTGAATGGAGTCCTGCTTGGTCACTCCGGGACCCTCATCTCTGGTGACCTCCGGCCCTTCTGGTACTCCCCCCCCCAACTACACAGCGGGAAGCTCTGTCCAAATGGGGTGGGTCGAGGTATCCACCAGATCAGTTCCCACCGTCCAGCTCCGGCGCGCGCGCGCGCGCACACACAAACACACAGACATAAAAATCACAGGGGCCATTTCCAGTCTCTCTCAAGTCCCCAAGAAGTTTTCCGCTCTATCTCCGATCTGATTGAGGAATGCGGGAAAGAGGATTGACTGATCTCGGAACTTCCGAGATGCGACCTCAGCAAGATCAGTACCCTCCTAGCCCAAGGCGACGTGGTGCTGGAGACAGTGTAGTCCCCGACTCCCCAACCCCAGGCCGTCTGCCTCGGTCTGGTCTTGGGGAGTCCCGTGCAGACTGGAATTGGGGGATACCATTTCACAACTTCCCCTCCCACCTCAGGAAAGTCCGGGCCGGGAAGTAGTCTTTGTCTCACTTCGGGCGGGGGAGGGGGGGTCGCGCCCCCTTACACCCCATTCCCAGCGGTGAGGCCAGAAGGGGGCGGAGCCCAGATTCTTGGGGCAGGGAGGGCCTCAGTGCCCTCTCCAGCCGCCCCCCTGACCGGCCTCCGGCTGCACCCCCCCACAACCCCGCGCCGCAGCCCCCACCTGTTCCCAAGGCAGATCCGGCCCTCGGGGGGGGGGGCGGGCCGGGGGCGGGGTCTCGCATTTCCCCCGGGTCAATGCGCCCCGGCCGGCCCCCGCTGGAACAAAGTGCTCCGGCCCGGGGCTCGGCTGCTCCCGGCGTCCGGCGCGTCTCGGGCGGGCAGTTTGCAAACACAAAGTGAGCCAGGGAGCTGGCGAGAGAGTGAGCGAGCGAGGGAGTTGGTCTAGTGGCCGGCCCAGCCCCCACCCGCGTCCCGGGGGCCCAGCAGATCCGCCACCTACCTGTCCGGCCCAGCCGCTCGGTGCGGGCTCCGGCCCGTCAGCCCGCACGGGGCATGGGGCTCGCTCGGGTCGCAGCCCGGGCCCGCCGCCGCCCGCCGGCGCTGCCCCTCCGCGCTGCGCCGCTCCCGGGCTCTCCTCCCCGCTCCGATCGCCGCGCGCCTCAGCCCCTCCCGGGCATCGCACTTTGGGGGGTAGCTGGGCTGGTTCCGGATCCCGCGGTCCTCCTTCCCGGTCCTCCAGCGACGCTCGTTAGCTCGCTCCGGCTCCCAAGCTCCCGGACCCCGGCGTCCCCGCCCCCGGCCCAGCCCTGGTTCCGGCCCGGGCTCCTCCCCGCCGCGCCGCCGCCGCCTGCGCCGCGCCCCGGTCGCGTGCTAGGGGTTCCGTCCCGGCTGCCGGGCACACTGTCCGGTCCGCAGGGGCGGCCGGCTCCGGACTCCGAGGGGCTGCGACTGAGCCCCGGCAGCGAGTGGCTGGCTGCGAGCGGGTGGCGCGCGGGCGGGGCGCACGGGGCGGGAGACCGGCGGGGTGGAGGGAAGGAGGGAGTGCGCGGAGCGCCGGGGAGGAGGGAGCGAGCGAGCGAGCGAGCGAGCGGCGGAGGGAGGGCAGACCAACTTCTAGTGCTACCATAATTCGCCTAAACCAGGTGCAGCAACTTTCCCCGCAAAAAGCCGAGGAGACCACGTGCTCCAAAGTTTAGGGAAGGAAAAACATGAGGACGTCGGGGAGAGGACTGGTCTGTACCAGTTGTTAGGCAGAGGGGACGCAGAGATTCTCCTTGGCCAGGGATTCATCTTAGGGTACGCTTTACAAACCCTGGCCTTTCCCCGGAGTCTGGAGGTACGGCCAAGTCCGCCTCGCACTCAAGGGTTCACCGGTTCCCGGCGGGCTGCGCTTGGCGCGGGGTGTAGTCCAGGGGGCCCCCCAAGTCCGGAGTCGGCGTCCGGCTCGCGGGCCCTGCCTAGTCTGGCCTCCCCTCCGACTCCCCACTGCGTGGGGGCTGGGGTTGGGGAGGCTCCTTCTGGGCTTTGTGAGTAGTCATGCTCCATACCTCGCGCACGCGCTGCCACGGTCTGCTAAGGGGAATTTCCTCCGAAGTGCTCCGAGAGCCAATGAAGGGCTCCAGGCTGGGTCCACGAGGGCCAAGCGCGGAGCAAAGTTGAGGCAATTATCTGAACAAATTAGATTGTAAACAAAACTCGGCGTCTCTGAATACCGCTTGTGCCCGGGGGTGGTGGGGGAGCATGGTGTGTTGGGGTTGGGAGGGGGAAGTCCGTGCGCGGAAAGGCCCTACGATCTGAGGGGGAGGGCTACGTTGGCTAGCAGGCGCCAGGCAAAAGCTAGTGGAGAACTGGGGGAAAAAAATCCTCCCACTCCCTGTACCCCCAAATTTATCCTCTCTCCGTCTGGGTGTGTGGAGGTGGGGCGAGGTGAGGACCGCCTCGGGGACCTTCCGTGTTGCCCTCATCCGGCCCAGTGATGCCAAGTCCCCAGACCCCTGCTTTGGGATGAGAGCAAGTCCACAGTGACTCTGGAAGGCCCTCTTGGCCCCAAGTCACTTGAAGCAGGTGGCCAAGGGATTGAAAACTTTTCCTGTAGGGCTTCAAAGAATGAGGTCGTCTTACTTATTCTGTCCTTTTTCTGTGGGTCCAACAGCCAGAAAAGGTTGGAATGTGGTGATCGCTGCACAGGCCCAATTGGGCAGATGCAACAGGCATGCATAGACCCTTCTGCAGTCATGGGGTATAATAACATGGGGCAGGACTGTCATGCCATTTATTTAATTAGTTATGTGTGCTACTGGAGGTTGAATCCTGGCCTCACAAATGCTACACACGTGTTATCCCACCTAGCCTCACCCCAGCCCAGAGCTTTGGACACAATGATTTTTTTTCCAGTAAAAAGGAGAATCAAATGACTGTGGGTGTGGTGGCCTGTAATACCAGCACTTGGGAGGTGAGGCTGGAGGATCAGGAGTTCAAGGTCATCCTCAGCTATGAAGGGAGCTATAGGCTAGCCTGGGCTACATGAATCCCTGTTTGAAAAATCCAAAACAGGACTGGCAAGATAACTCATGAGCTAGACACCTACTGCCAAGCCTAAGCTGGATCCCTGAGACCGATATGGTTGGGAGGAACAGAACCAACTCCTGCAACTTGTCTTCTGACCTCTACATACACACTGGCACAAGTGCACACAGACACACACACACACACACACACACACAATAAATTATATATATTAAAATATTTTCAATCTGCTGGGCATGGTGTTGAATGCCTTTAATCCTGGCGCTTGGGAGGCAGAAGCAGGCAGATCTCTGTGGGTTTGAGGCCAGCCTGGTCTACATAGTCAATTCCAGGCCAGCTGGGGCTACAGGAAGACCCTGTCTCAAAAAGGCCATATATATATATATATATATAGAGAGAGAGAGAGAGAGAGAGAGAGAGAGAGAGATTATAGATATAAAAATTAGATGACAGCTGACAGCTATCCTGCCTTGTGCTCAGCACATTGATTTATTTAATCTTCATAATTACCCTGAGAGGTAGGTAATCAATTACCTCTTTTACAGAGGTGGAAACTGAGGCACGTAAGGCACACGCCTTATTAAGGTTTACACAGCTGGTGAGTGACCGAGCAGTTCCAACCAGAGCAACTTGTCTTGGGCAGGAAAGCCATTGGGGCTCTTTAATGTGGTACTGCCTGTCATGGGTGATCTGCCTAGGAGGGTGTCTGGAGGGGAGGGAGGAACCCCTTGGTAGGGGGATCTGCTTAACCTGTGAGAGGCAGCTTGGTGGTCATCGTGGTGTGCAGACAGAACTGCTGAGCTGGTGACCCTGCCCCTCAGCCCCCTTCCAATCCTAGCTGTAGTAGAGGCTGAAAGTGGGAATGAGGGACTCTAGTAGGAAAGAGAGGAATCTCTGAAGGGTAGATGGGCTGCTATCACACTCATAGAACCCTTTCCCTAGCCTTGTTGCCGCAGCGCACACCTGCCTCCCACCTCCCATGTGAGCTCACTGGAAGAGTTTTTTTCCTTTCTTTCATTTCATTTTACCCCTCTACTCAAGGCCCACTCAGTCCCCTGCCCCCCAATGCCTTGTGAGTCACAGTGGAAAACCCAAGAGTCAGAAGACCCCATCTTGTTCTTATTGTGGGCAATTTGGTGGGAGAAAACAACCCTTGAAAGAAAAGCTGTAGACAAGTGCTGCCTCTGTCACAGTAGCCATGATAGAGCCCTTCTTCCTAGTGCGACAGTTGATGGAAGGGTTTCCCATGGGGAACTGACTGTGCTTTGTCACATCCCAGGATGCAGGGCAGGCACAAAGCTCAGGTGGTGCTAATAACCCAGAGTGTTGGCCTGACCCTATGACAGAGGCCAAGGTTAGGATGACAGTCAGGCAGCCTTAGGTTGAACATCAGCTTCTGTTATTTACAGGTGTGTGCCCTGGTCAGGTTAAGATGCTGGTGCCTCACTTCCTTCACCTAAATTAGGAGGATGCCTCTTCGGGATAGCTGGGAGGCGAGCATGAAAAACCAGGGGTGATGGTAGACATGTATTTAAAAACAATGTATTTAGACCCATAGTCTGAACACAGCTAGGCCCAAATATTTTGTTTCCATTCATCTCACTGCTAAGGATCTTTCCTTTTTCTTTTCCTTCAAATATTTTATTTTTATGTGTATGAGTGCATTGCCTGCATGTAAGTGCACCTGTACCATGCAATGCCCACAGAGGTCAGAAGAGGCCATCGGATCTCCTGGAACTGGAGTAACGGACAGTTGTTAGCCGCCATGTGGGTGCTGGGAACCAAATTCAGGTCTTCTGCAAGAGCAGCCAGTGCTCTTAACCACTGAGCCATCTCTCCAGCCCCCTATATTATATTTCTTAAAAGATTTATTTCAGCTGAGTGTGGTGGCACACTTTTAATCCCAGCGCTTGGGAGGCAGAGGTAGGTGGGTTTCTGTGAGATTGAGGCCAGCCTGAGACAGGGTCTCCCTGTAGCGCCAGCTGGCCTGGAACTCATTACATAGACTAGGGCTGGCCTTGAAGTCACTGAGATCTGTCTGCCTCTTCCTCCTGAGTGCTGGGACTAAAGGTATGTGACACCACGCCTAACCCAGGGAGACTTGCCCTAAAAAAACAACATTTTATTTTATTTATGCGTATGTTTATATATCTGGAGGTGTGCATGCATGTGGTGTGTGTGTGTGTGTGACACCCAGAAGAGGGTGTCAGATGCCCTAAAGCAGGAGTTACAGGTAGTTGTGAGCTGCTGGCCCTGATTGCTCAGAACCAAGCGTCTGTCTCCTGGGAGAGCAGCAAGTACTCAGTCACTGAACCATCTCTCCAGCCCCTCTTCTTGGTTACTGAGAAACAACTTTATTAACAAGCTGGGTGTAGTGGTACATACCTGTAATCCCAGCCCATGGAAGGTGAAGGCAGGAGTTCAAGGTCATCCTCTGTTACATAGTAAGTTAGAAGGGACAGGACACCCTACCTATCTAAAAAATGAACAAACCACCAAGAAACTTATTGAGCTGTGTGAGTACTTGGAGTTCGTGCACGTTTCTTTATAACTCATGGCTGATGTAGTTGAGGCAGTTTCCACCTCCATCTCTCTCTCTTTCTACATCGTGTTCTTGCCAGAGGTAACCAGTTGCCTAAAGTTGACCTTGCCAAGTTAAGTTTTATAGTGTCTCATGGGCACCCTAAAATGTTAAGAAGCATTGGGGTGTAGCCGAGTAGCAGAGCACACATAAGGTCCTGGATTCTAGCCCCAGTCCTACCAAAAATGATAAAAAGGGCGGGGGGCTTGGCAGTCATCTTGCAGAGGACCCAGGTTCGGTTCCCAGCATGATGCACTTACATGTAAGCAAAACACTCATACCCATAAAATAAAAATAAAAATTTAAAAATCATAATAGAAAAGAAACTTTTTATTTTCACTATGTAGCTCAGGCTATGGCCAGCTCTAGTTATAGGGGGTTTGTTGTTATTGTTGTTTTGTTTTGAGACAGTCTCACATATAGCAGGCTGGCCTTAAACTTGATACATGGCTAAGGATGACCTTGAACTCCTGATCCTCCAGCCTCTGCCTCCCGAGTGAGTACTGGGGTGACAGATGTGCAACACTGAGCCTCTAGTTCCATTTCACTCAACTTCAGGTTTCTGAGTTGAATTCAGGTTTGTCACCTGTAGTTCTAGGTCATGTCTGAGGCTATCAGAGAACATTCCAGCGTAGGATGTATCTGTTCTTTACCTCACTTCCCTGTTATAGATGGACAGTTAGACTATATTGGTGTTTTGCCATGATGGTCTCCTTCTCTGACCCCCCCCCCACCCCATCCACTCCTGCTTAGGTATTTCTGCCCTTCCCCTACCCTCAGGTCCCTCCTTTCTGGAATCTTCTCTCTCTTCATCTGTCCTGCTTTGCAGT